CACCTGGTACCCAGTGGCAGCTGCGTCGACCAGTCTACGGCTGCGCCAGGCTCCACGTGAGTGGCACGACACACTTCGCTCGACCCTTGGAGCGCTTGAGTTCTTTCCGTCGTCTGCCGACCCGACACTGTTCGTCCGCCGTGGCTCGACCCCGTTCTTTGTCCTGGTCTTCGCCACTCCCGACCGACGTGCGCTGGCCTCTGTGAAGGAGGAACTACAGAGGAGACACACTTGCACTGACCTTGGTGAGCTGCAGCACTACCTTGGCCTGCAGATCACCAGAGACAGAGTAGCTCGCACCATTACGCTGACTCAGTCGCATATGGTCGAGCAGATCCTCTCGCGGTTTCGCTTCCCGTTCTCCAAGGTACATCTCACCCCTCTTGCTGTGGATCATGGGCTCACGGCTCCACCTTCGGACGGGTGATTTGTGTCCAGTGGTCCATATTCGAGCTAGTGAGTTGTCTCATGTACCCTCTTAGCGTCCTTGCGCGTTTTTTTTGCGCTTGGGAGACACCGTCCGTCTCACTAGTACGCTGCTAAGAGGGTGGCGAAGTATGTGGCGAGTACATCAGGCATGGGACTTGTCCTTGGAGGGAAGGAGCAAGTTACACTCACAGGTTTCTCAGACTTGTCGTGGGCCGACGACGCGGAGACGCCTCGGTCTACACAGGGTACTCCTTTAGCCTCGGGACGGGTGTTGTTTCGTGGCGGTCGACTCGGGCGTCGTCCGTCTCCCGTTCCAGCTATGAGGAAGAGGTGTACGCTGCGGCCATGGCCGCTCAGGAGCTTCGCTGGCTCTCTTTCCTTCTCACCGACCTTGGTGAGCGGCCTCGCTCTCCCCCAGTCTTGTTCGCCGACAACAGGTCTGCTGTCTTGTTGTGTGAGGAGCCCCGACTGGTTGGGAAGGCGAAGCACATCCACTTCGTTACTTCCTTCTTCGTGAGTTGCAGCAGCGTGGCTAGGCACTCGTACGACGTGTGGTCTCTGAGGCCAACACTGCAGATATCTTTCACCAAGGCGTTGCCGCCTTGTGACCACCAGCGTTTCTGCACCCAGCTTGGCCTTGATTATCAGTGCCAGGTGTCACAGCTGCCCGCGTGTCAGTGCCAGCACTCCCTGCACATCTATCCGCCGCCTCTTCGCCAAAAGCTCCGCCCTCTTTGCCACATCTGCCTTCTTCTCCCCGCCGCTGCTTCTACTGCTGATCTTGCTGCTGCTGCTGCTCTTGTGTGTCAGGGTAAGTTGTTGCTTGCCCTCTGGTTTATGCCGTTTGTGTGACGAGCTGCCAGCAGCAGCAGCGGAAGCAGGAGTGGCAGGGGGAGCAGCAGAGGGGGTGAAGATGGAGGCGCTGCGAATGGCGGCGCGCTTCTCCGCGCGGTTGTGGTCAAAGCGGTGGGCAAAGGGCGCTGCTGCAGCTGCTGCACTGTCCGCCTGTGAGGGCGGCAGCAGCCGGATCGCCAGCCCCCTGCTGCGTGCCTCTGCCTCCTCCTCTGCCACCCGCTTCTTGCGCTCCTGATGGCCGCAGAATGGGATTGGCGAGACATGGAATGCCAGGGCGAGGTGCGAGTGATAAATCATCAGAGTCATCACGGAGACTTGGGAACAGCAGAGGTGTGGGAGGGAAACGCCAGATGGCAAACGCCAGATGAACAATGCTGGACGTACATCCATCCAACCATGTCAAATACTACAGATTAGAATTGATTTGACTCTTCACCAAAAAACCCCCTCCCCCCCACTTCCCTGCCCCCAAAGTCCCCCTCTCCAACCCCTTCCCCCGCCCCTCCCATGCCCACCCCACCCCACCCGTGGGTGCATACCCGGAGGTGGGAGCGCAGCACACGGTTGAGGCGGAAGGGGTCGGCATGCTTGGTGTCCGCAGCAGCCTTCACGGCCGCTAGAGTGGGCGCAGCTGCTGCCGCCCTCTTGCGGTCGCGCCCCCCATGCTCCAATCGCACCAGCGGATCCAACAGCTGCTCTCGCTCTGGACAGTCCAGGCAACGAAGGGGTGGGATGGAGAGAGACGGGGAGAGAGAGAGGGAGATAAAGGGAGAGAGGGCGATAGGGGGAGAGAGGGGGAGAGGCGGAGATAAAGGGAGAGATATGAAGAGGGGAGAGAGAGGGAGAGAGAGGAAGAACTATGGAAAGCGAGATGGAAAGGGGGAGAGAGGGGGAGAGGGAGGGAGAGAGGGAGAGGGAGGGAGAGAGGGGGAGCAGGAGGGAGAGAGACGGAGAGAGACGAAGAGCGAGGGAGAGAGAACAAGAGGGAAGGATGGGGGAGGGAGAGAGGGGAGAGAGAGGGAGAGAGAGGGAGAGAGGGGAGAGAGAGGGGGAGGAAGGGAGAGAGGTAGAGGGAGGGAGAGAGAGGGAGAAAGATGGAAAGGAAGGGAGGGATGCGGGTAGTATGGGAATGCTGAGGTCGAAAGGGTGAGCGACAACACCAAAAAAAAATTATGGGGGCCAGTAAAAAAAGGATGGAGGGTGCGCGGAATGAAGTGGTGAGGCGTAAATGGGCAGTGAGTAGTGGGTAAGTGGTGTGGACAAGGCGGCAGAGGTGGTGCAAGTGCCACCCCCTCCCCCACCCCCCCATCCCCCACCCCACCCGAACCACCCCTCCTACCCTCTTTGGAGGGCAGCTCCACAGTGCCGGCATCCTCTGCATCGTACTCCACCACCTTGCGCTCCGCTCCACTCACCTGCACATACACAAGTGAGTGTGCATGGGGGGCCGAGAGGGGGGGGGGGGGGGGGGGGGGGGGGGGGAGGGGGGAGGAGGAGGAGGTTGGGAAGCGCGTGAGAGTGTGTGTGTTAGCACGCATGTAAGGGCGAGATATAGAGAGGGGGGAAGGAGAGACAGAAAGACGGGAGTGGGAAGGAGGGGGCAGCAAAAGGTGGAGCATTGGGGTTAGATGGAGAGAAACCACAAGTGATACCATTGTGGAGGCAAGTAAGGAGCACACGAGATAGGCGATGCTTGGAGGCAAGACGGGTCATGGGAGTGGTAAGGGCAGGGCGGCGGGAGGTGTGGGGCATGGGGGTGAATATAACGAACCACAAGGAAAGCCATCAAGGAGGTAAGCAAGGAGCACACGAGATAGGGCAGCAGGAGGAGGGGAGAGGGCAGTAAGAAGAGGAGAGAGGGAATGGTTGGAGGTAGGTATGGAGTGATGACGACGAGGTAGTCGCAGTTCTTGGGGTCCGTGTGGATCTCTATCTCGTGCTGGCAGCACGCCGCCCGCATCTTGAAACTCCATATCTGCACCACACAGGGGCGGCCGGCAACGGGCGGCAGGGCGGAGTTAAAAGGTGATGGGCAGGGCGCAGAGCAGTGGGGACATGGTCATGACTCATGGCAGGGCGCGCAGCTGGTGCAAGGCACGCAAGCAAGCGGAATGCCATGGGAAGGAAAATGAGTGCTGGAGCTGGAGGTATGAGCGTTGGGAGGAAAGAGCACCTTGGTGGATGAGGTAGTTGGCGATGTGCTCTTCTCCGCGTTGAACCGCACGCCCTTGGCGATCATGCTCTTGCACCCGCCACACCACACGTGGAACGGCATCTCAAACCTGCCCGCCGGGGACACATGGTGTTGGTGGTGCCACGGGACAGGGAATGCGGGAAAATCAGCGTAACATGAGTGCGGCAGCAGAGGGGTATGCATGCGTGCATGGCTTGTTGTGTGCTGAGGTACTACTGGCGGATGCGGTACTACTGGCGGATGAGGTACTACTGGCGGATGAGGTACTACTGGCGGATGAGGTACTACTGGCGGATGAGGTACTACTGGCGGATGAGGTACTACTGGCGGATGGGGTACTACTGGCGGATGAGGTACTACTGGCGGATGAGGTACTACTGGCGGATGCGGGTACTACTGGCGGATGCGGTATGGAGCACGAGAGGATGGCGGCGGTAATGCGACCAACCGCATGAGGGGAGAAAGCGAGAGGATTGAGTGAGCAGGGGACAAAGAAGTAGGGTGGTGTTGGGGGAGATTAATGAAGAGTACCGTAAATCGAGGTGACGGCACAAGAGCACATGGTGAGGTGTGGGTGTGGGGTGGGTGTGGTGGGAAAAGATGAGGTGAGGTGAGCGCGGGTGGTGTGCACCTGATGACGAGAATGCCATCGCCCAGCTTCTTCGCTCGTTCTCTCAGCGGGTGCTGTCCCTGAAACTTGTTCAGCGAGCCCTGCCACACCACCGCGCCATGCCACGCCACGTCACATCACGCCACGTCATGACACAGACATCACGCCACGCCACCTCATACCACAGCATAACATGCGCGAGGGGAAGCACACGGAGAGGCAATGACGCCGTGACGTGCCGACGCGCGGATGGCGGAGCCAAACATTACACCGTTTCCTTGCGCCTGCGCGCGCGATCAAGGGAGGGGGGTGGGGACAGGGAGGAACGAGCGGCGAGAAAAGAACACGACGGATGGACGGCAGTGGAGGGGGAACGAACGGAGAAACAAGGAAGATCACACGGAAATGCAGAATTGGAGATGGATGAAGGGGAACGTGAGAGCATGGCCACACGCCGTGAATAATGTAGAGGGAGCAGCGGCGGGAGCACGTACCTGCTCCGGCGTCCATTCCGGCGGGTAGTAAAAGTTGTCGGCCCGCGCGGCTGCTAGCGTCGACTGCAGCAACGAGCAGAGGGGGGCGGAAACAAGGGTGCACGAGTTAACGTTAAGGAGTAACAACAAAGTGAGAATCAAAGCGCGCGTAATTTCCGAAAACGAGTCAAGTTGAACCGCGAGGCGACTGTTTACCATGATGAATGTTGAACCTGACGACTACTTGACTCCACTACAGGAACGTCTTGCAAAACTTAGCTAGGTAACTGAGGCACACGGCACTTGGTGGATGAAAACGAAGGATGACAGCGGAACCCTAAAATATGCACCAGTTTTTGTTCGGGTTTTTGTGCAGGCGAGCTTCGTCCTGATAACGAAGTTGGAACAACTGCGATTGTTCTACAAACAGTGAAATTGAGTTCACTATACTTGTTACGATTGCACTTTCTCGAGCCAAAAAAGGATTGTGGCGAGTAGAATTCGAAATCAACAAAATCCGTCTCAGGGTCCGTTCTTGGCTCGTGTCAAACTTCGTGTTTTCCGAGACCAGGGGCAAATTTTAGCCGGAAGACCCGAAGTGGGTCTCGGATGACCCAAAGTGGGGCCAACTGTGGGGCAGCTTCGTGTCATCTCCGGAAGACCGGAAGTATGACACGAGCCAGGAACGTACCCTCACTGGTTTGTGCGAAAGTACCCAGCTGATGACATTCGTTAAAAAATTCTCGAAGTTCGTTAATCTCGCCAAGTAATTGACATCTCAGGGAACATTCGGGACGTGACATGTCCCAAAGTACGCGTCACAAGCGTTTGTGACGCGCAAATCCAGCATATGCTGTCAGATGTCCGAATGACAGAGCGCGCACGTGCGACGTGTGCTGTATTTTACATTGGCCAGCGCCAATCACGGTTCTGTCGCCAGCGAGTTGCATTGCATGCTGGCACAAAATCGCACAACGGATGTTGCGGCTCGAAATGTCACGTCAATGCGTCGTGAACCTAGACACTGCCCCCAGTCTGAACTACACGTGGGACCCCAAAAACACTTGTCCTTGCTGCCCATCCTGCACGAAAACGAGGCATTCAGAGACCACAGATCCAGCACATTATTTTCCCGCCAAAACGATATGCACGCTCCCCTTCCCCACCCCAAGTCTGGCTGCCTAGGGTTGCGAACCACTCCCCCTATACAAACTGCAAGCACGTGTCCCGAGTCACAATTGCACCTCCCGATTTTCTCTGCTAGGACGAAGTAGCAGTTTCCGCCATGGTCCGTAAGCGTAAGAACGCAGACCGCGATGACTGCCCTGCCGACCTTAACGAGATCCCTTACAACCGCTGGATAAACGACCAGATCGCGAACGGTCGTCGTCCCGCATCATACGTCCCGCCTGCCGCGGCGGTGCCTGAAGGCACAACTTCGCAGATGCATGCGGCGGGTCCTTCGCGAGTGTGCCGACCACCAGCGCGTGTGGCGACTTCTCGGGCTGCCGAAACGGAGGACGACGAGGACGAGGATGACTCGAATTTCATGACGACGGAGACGGCACCGACGACGACGATGAGGAAGAGGAGGTCGGTGATGTCGAAGGCAAAGAAGAGGAATACGAGGAGGATGATGACGACGTCGCCGATGAGGAGGGGCAGCCCGTGAAGCCGCCATCACGCCAGACTGCAAGCAGGGCCGCGAGCAGCGCCAAGGACAAGGGGAAGGCTCCTGCTGTGGACAAGCCGCGCTCGAGGGCGAAGGCTCGTGTGGACGCGCCACGCGACAAGACCATGTGGTCCGAAAAGGAGAACGCGATCTTCGCCGCCGCCCGTTGGTTCACCAAGGACGAGATGAAACCACTTAAGGGCAAGCAAGGGACCCAGTACTGGGCGCGCCTTGTAGCCCACATCAAGGAAGAGAACCCGGGATGGTTCCGGGGCGTCAACGCAGTGCAAAAGCAGTGGCGCAACTTGATGCGCCTGTGGAAGCAGCTCCACCGAGGTGACGGCGGTTCTGGTAATGGATCAGTGGTCAAGCCACCCTGGTTCCAGTTCATGGAACTCACAACCGCGACACGGCTGATGCCGATCCGCACGCGGTCGATCAGGGAGGCGTGGGGAACATCAACGTGCGCGCACGCATGGAGGTGCCGTCTTCCTCACAACCAGTGACTTCGACGCCCACGTTTACTGGTAGGTTTTTTTTTTTTTTTTTTTTTTTTTTTTGCTTATATGAGCTATACACCGATACAAAAAGCGTACAACACATAAACAGTCGTAACCGTGCGTGAGAAGCAGGAAGGCCTGCCTCAGAGAGAATCCAATCCTTACACGTGGATCCGGGGCCTGTGTGGCTTGCCCCAAATTGCTGCGAAGCTGTTCGACCACCGCCAGCTCTTACCCTCCACTACCCTGATGCGGTTCAGAAGGCGCTGCTCCTGATCTGTCATCACGTGCCATCTGGCCTGCTGCTTCTTCCCCTTTTGCTGCAACTTCCTCGCCGAGGCTCGCACGTAAATGTTCACATGCACGCACAGAGCCGTTTCAATCCTCCGCAGCACCCGCCTCGTGCGGAATTTACAGCCACGGAAGGCACCTTCACACCGCTCCGCCCACAGTTGATGCAAAGCGATGGATATCAAGGTCGCCTCAGGGAATGCTGACGTGGACCCTGCCTTCCCGAAACAACCAGTCACCCAGCGACTCCGCCCGCCTGGCGGGGTTAATCATGCGCAGGGCTCTTTTCACCACTGCGACCTCCACTTGAATCCTTGGGCACTCAAAGAAACAGTGCTCCAGCGTTTCGAAACTTCCACAGTAAGGACACACCGGCCTGCTCCTGAGAAACGGGAGCCTCTCACCGACTTGCAGGTTCAGACTGTGAATTCTCAGCAGAACATCCCTCGGTCTGCTGGGGGTGACCAGCGATTCCCGAGTTTTTACTGCCCGCTTCCAATATATTCGGCCGCCCCATCTAGTCTCCCACTTGCTCTGCCTGGATTGTCCACTGCCACCATGCCCCCAGCGGGACCGGAGGCTTTTCAGCGGCGCAACTTCACCATTCACCAGGAGTTTTGCGCGAAGCTGTTTTAACCCCGCTCTTCCTGCCTCATACACCTCTGCAAAACCCATCTGCGGAAGCTCGGCTGAGAGAAGCAGCCCCCCTCCAGGCTTCCGGTGCTGCTGCAAACGCCTCAAGAGCTAGCTTTGCAGCATCCTTCCCCAGCAGCTCCCTCTCTAGAGTGGCAAGGCCTTTCAGCGTGCCCCTCCCCTCCTCATCTTTCTGGATCAGATCCCCTAGCCTGACATCCCGCAGCTGCTTAGCTGCCTTCTGCCCCCCGAATGTCGTAGACCCTTTCCTGAGAATGTGTCTGTTAAACACGATTCTCTCCAGCGCCACCTCCTCCTTGCTCCGCTCAGCTCCAGTCGCCGCCAAAGGGGAGCGTATGAAATTCTCGCACGCCAGCTTCCACCGTTGGCTCTTTCCCTCCCATGATTCCAAGAGCTTCTCGTGCGACAGAAACGTGTCAAGCCCCAGCGGCAGGTCCGCCGCCTGGCGCATCAGGTTCCGCTTTAACTGGCTGGGTTCAGTGAGTATCGACCCGATCCTTCTGGCCGTGAAGCAGGTAAGCATGGCTTCCGGGTCCTTCGCACCCACACCCCCTTCCATCACCGGTGTGTACAGCAACTCCTTACTCCATAGAAAGAAGCACTTCTCCGTAGTGACCTTGTTGGCTGACATGAACGTGTGTGACAGCTTCATGATTACCCCCCAGGTCCGAGCAGGCGGCGGGTACACCTGCGCTTGAGACCAGGCGATCGGTAGGATGTAGCCATCCATCACTGCTCTCCTCGCTTTGATCGGCAGATACTGCGGCTGCCACAGCGACATCTTCCCCACAATCCGCTCCAAGGCCTTATCCCACGTCGGCTGACAGCTTCCGCTCGGCGTAACCCAGATACCAAGAAGCTTCTCCGCCTCATCCGCGCCAGCCCATCTGAAGCCATCCGTGCGCCAAGTCGTTTTACCAAGATTGACTCCCAGCGGGAGCACCACCGACTTTTCTTTATTTGTCGCCAGCTCCGAGATACTTTTGAACTCCTCCAGTGCCTCCTCTGCCTTAACAATTTGCTGTTTTCCCTGAAGCAGGAGGGTGGTATCATCAGCATACCCGATGTAGGCAAGCCGCTGCCCAACACAGCTGCGGAGGGTGATTCCGAGCTTCCTCTTCTCCACCTTCTGCACCAATGGTTCCACCGCACAGAGGAACAGGTAAGGAGCAATGGGACACCCCTGCCTGACCCTAGATACCACGTCCACTGCCTCCCCCCTTCCATCCGTTAACTAACAAGCTCGTGCGCGTGTTTTCATGCAGCCCTTTCACCCAGCCAACAAACCGCTCCGGGAAGCCCATCCTCCTGAGGACCTCGAAAGTGAAGTCACGGGACACCGAGTCAAAAGCTTTTTTAGAATCAACGAGCAACATGTACCAGTCTTCCTTGCCATTTTTGGCCGCGTCAATGACATCAACAACCAGCCCAACTGCGTCAGAGACCCGCCTCCCCGGTATGAAACCAATTGCTCCTGCGAGATGACTTTATGAAGCACTTTCTTGATCCTGCTTGCCAGAACCCGCGCCAGCACCTTGTAGCTGAAATTCAACAGGGTAATCGGCCGATAATTCTCCAACTGTTCTTTTGCTCCTTTCTTGTGCAGGAGAATGGTCACCGCATCCTTGACACTGGTCGGGAGCGATGCCGAGGCAGTGAAGCTCTCCACCAGAGCCATGAGGTGTTTCCCCAACACATCCCAGTGCTGCTCAAACAGCTCCTTCGGGAGCCCGTCCTTCCCCGGGGATTTGTTGCAGGCCATCTCCCGAAGAGCACGCTTCACTTCCGCTTCAGTCCAATCCTCCTGCAGGCACTCCGCCTCCGAGAACCATAACCTCTTTCCTGCCGCTGGAACCCAATCCAAGACCGCCGTTCTTTTGTCCTCACCAAAGAGACCCCGGTAATATTCTGACGCCGCCT